ACAGTATTTGGTTATAGATTCGAGGTTCGTTGGCTGGGTTTTCGTAAGTGTTTTAAGGGTGGTTATTGGACTGTAATTTCCAGCATTTTCAGCTGGATTTTGGGGTTGTTTTGGGTGGTGCTTTGTGGTGGTTTGGGACTGGATTTTGGCTGGTTTTTTGGACTGTGTTCAAGCTGGAATTTTTTATACTTGTTCTTAGAGGAAGAAAAGGATTGAGCTCCTCTCTTTTTGGGGCTCCTTTGGTCCGTTTTTGATGAGGAAGAAAAGAGTTAGGGGTTGTGAGTGGGGGACAAAGCATGTGGGACAAGTATGGGGGACAAACATGGGGGACAAAGAAAAGTTGAGTGGGGACACGCCTGGGAAAGCGGAAAATATTCAAGCACGGTCAAAAATTAGGTGCTCACAGTCGCATTCCTGACATGCAGGCCAAGAACTTGGAACATCCCCGAATAATACCTTGCTTTATTCGCGCTACTAGAAAACTGCCTAAAATCATCTCGAAATACCGACCGACTTTAATTCATCGAAATTAGGCTGGTCGGTAATAAATAATGTCGAAGTCGATCGCAATTTCCGACCGATTTCAGTCACAATTACCGACTAATTTCGATCGGTCAATAAAATGTCACAAGCGACCAAAAAAGAAAAATCTGTCGAAAAAATCGACCGAAGTCGATCGGTACTTTTAATTATGCAATTAAAAAATGCACCCTGTGTATTATGGCATGATACTATTCTACCACTAGACTATTGGTATATTTTGGTTTAAGACTATCTTTTATTTTATTTTATTTTATTTGTACTCTTTAATTGTATTTTCACGTGAAAATAACCGACCGAAGTTGGTTGATTTTTTAAAATGACCGACTAAAATACCGACCGATTTCGGTCGATTTTTTGAATATTAATTTTAATTTATTTTACATGAAAAATCGATTAAAGTTGGTCGGTTTCTTAAAAAATAAATTTCGCAGGACGCCAAATTAGTTTCCCGTATTTTTGCTCCCAAAATAAACCGATCGAAGTTGGTCGATTTTGTAAAAAATAAATAAATAAAAATATATTTTGAAAAATACGGACCGACTTCGATTGGTTTTTGAGTAAATTTTTTGACCGACCAAGTTGATTTGCCACAACCAGTTTTGGCCGGATTTCTAGTAGCGTCACTTGTAACGACTATCTGATTTATATACAACACTTTGGGCTAACCATTGGGTATTTATTCTATTCTTTGGCAAGATTATCTTTTTTTTGGTGTCCATCGTGGAGTAATCCAATTCGATATAACCTTGCCGAAGGCCAACGATCAATGAGATTTCTTATCTCAATCTTCGCTCTGTTTATCATTACTATTCTTCGATTTATTGTACGTGCTTTGATTAATCTATTTATTGATGGCCTTAAAATATAAATTTAATTGTTTATTTTAAAATCACTTGTAATACAGGGTAAGGCTACGTATAGATCTTTATAGTGCGACTCTTCCCTGAATCTCACGTGTAACGAAAGTTTAGTGCATCGGGCTGCGCTTTATTTAATTATTTATTTTAAAACTAATTTTAGATTAAACAATATTTATTTCAAGGTCGTCGAGATTATATTTAGATGACAAAGTTAGGATGACCCATAAAGATAAGAAATAATTTTGGTAAAAATGTTCCATACTTTATCATGAGAAAAGTTAACTTTTTGCTTAGAGAAGTTACAATCTTCCTTCCCCAAGACGAGAACTACGGCTAGAGAAATTAACAAAATCCAATCAAAGGCACATGCTGCTATTTTCTAAAGTTTTTTGGGGAGAAAAAGCTGACAAATGCATTCATATTGTTTAATCCTCTCTCTCGATTTGAAGTTAAACATTTTTCAATAAATCATTAGAAGTAAAAGAAACAAGCTCTACTGCACATGTGGATTGATGGCACCTTGTAGTGCAGCTATTAGTTGAAAGCATGTGAATTTTTTGTTAATATTGTGACTTTGATCTAACTTATTCTGCCCTTTCCTCGTTGCTTTTTAATGCATATTATATATTTCGTAAAATTAATTTTAATTTCCTTTTATTGGATTCTATTCAATTGGGGTTCTTTGCAATTTGCACCCTTGCTATGACATGTTATAATTATGCAGGGGGCAATTTGCAATTTCCTTTGTACTCGACTTATTTCTCCTAAACCTTCCATCCAAAAAATCCATAGGAAGGAAAAGAAACTTCAAGAATCAAATTAATTATTGATAAGGATTCGAGTAACTAATAATTTGATTAAACGTATTAATTTAACTAAGATCATAATGTCCTTTCATTATCCTCTCTCACATTTGTTTTGCTATTTTTATTTGGCAAAAATCACTTTTAGCCCCCGGCCAAAACTAGTTACATCTAGTAGATGCAAAAGTATATAAAATGTGTATATTTTTTATATATAATATATAAATATATATATATATATATTATATATATAATATATATATATATATATATATATATATTATTTTGAGAGCGACTATACAATATCATTTTCCCTATTTTTTTTCCTGTCAATTACTCTCAAGACAAGGGGAAATCTTTCTTAATAGAACACCTAATTCTTTTAACATCAAAATATAATAACCTTTAAAATTAAAGCTTATAGTTTAGTGGTTTTTGATGAATTTAATAAAATTAAAAATGAGATAGTTGTAAGAAAAATAACTTTCTTGCCTAAGTTGTGGGTAGAAGTCATTTTGCGTATTTTAATGGAAAATATTGTCCTAAAAAGTATAGGAACACGAGAAAATTGAATTTTTTATGAAAAATATTTTCCTGAAAAATTACTTCCGTCATACAAAAATTTGAAAAATGACTTATAAGCCACATTATTTTCTCTTGTAAGTTATAACCTTTTCATGAACCTTTTTCAAGACAAAAGGAGTTTTTCCGTTTGAAAACTTTAAGCTAGCGTTTCAGCATAAATTTGGTTAAAACGTGAAAAAAATGAGTTTTTGAAAATGAGATGAATAATGGCTTTTGAAAGTTAAAATTATATTTGGACATGCTTTATACTTTAAAAGAATTTGAAGTTTGTGAGTAGAAACCTCAAAAACTATTGTTTCATGTTGTGGGGATTTGAAGACTTTGTTTTCAAACTCTGCCAAAAAATAATTAAAATTTATAAACAAACAGATATTTAAAAATAAAATTTGAAAAATATTTCCAAATTTTATGGCCAAATGGGAGCTAAAGCGTATATTTATGAATATTTCCACTTTGGTTTAATTCTGACCATAATTCAAAGTCTAGATATTCTTTGTATTGACTCATTGACAACTGACAAAAGAATTGAAAAAAATACAGTTCTCTTTTAGTACTGTCTACCGAATTTCTCTAACAACAAGTCTCTGGTCTCCCATAATAATAGAGAAGAAAGGTCTTTTCCAAATTCCAACAGCAGCCATTTTACGACAAAGAAATAAGTTGGTATGAATTCAATACTCCCGTTTCAATTTATGTGAACATGTTTGAATAGATACGGGGTTTAAAAAAAATAAAAACTTTTAAAATTTGTGATCCTAGACAAGTTAAAAGGGGGTCCAGAATATTTGTATGGTTATAAAAGTTTCTTATTGATGGTAGAATTGAAAGTTTAAGCTAAATTGTTTCCAAATTTAGTAAGGAGTCATTCTTTTTTAAACGGACCAAAAAAAAATAAGTTCACATAAACTGGATACTATTAAATTGTCGATTAATCAAATCAATCTTATCATATGAGATTTATTTGTATAGTTAGTAAACAAAATTAACGAACTGGTTTCGAATGAACCGTTTTGTATAACATGCATTTGCCCCTGCATAATCGTATCATGTCATATTATATAATTGCTTTAAATTTCACCCATAAGTTACCGTCAAATTTCTACTCATTTGATTCTAAGCAAATCATGTTCCAATTTTTGAAATCTCATTTACTAGCTAAATTTAGTGTTAATATTACTAAGTTTGAATTAATTAAATTTATATTACTTTCTCCAATGGACACTAAGACGTATTATTAATCTTAATATTAAAAGATAATTCATCAAAACATCCTCCGATTTGCTAATATCATTATTAATTTTCAATATATATATATATATATATATAATATCATTATTCATCAAAAACAGAAAATTATTTTTCTACCAAAAAGTACTTTTCATGAAAAATATTCTCTAAGGAAATATTTTTCCATGGACTTCCATTGCACCAAACACATAGGTGAAAATAGCACGGTCTAGCCAGTTTTCGGACTGGTAATTGAAAAATAGCTAGCGTTTGCAAAGTTATTGAAAAATAGCCACTATTTTCCTGCAACACGGAAAGTTCCAGCATAATATACTGGAGATTGGTGCACCTGTGTATGAACTTTCAGCATATTATGTTGGAACTCCAGCACACAGAAAGTTCCAGCATAATATACTGGAGATTGGTGCACCTGTGTATGAACTTTCAGCATATTATGTTGGAACTCCAGCACACAGAAAGTTCCAGCATAATATACTAGAGATTGGGGCACCTGTGTATGAACTTACAACATATTATGTTGGACCAATATATTATACTGGAACTCCAATATATTATGCTGGTATTTCACATGTAAAAAATTCGAACTCCAATATATTATGCTAGAATATTTTCCGGATCTTGAATAGTATTTTCGTCCAAATTTATTTTTATATAAAAAATGGCTAAATTTCGAATATTTTTGAAACTTTGGTGGCTATTTTTTTCGCCCAACACAGTCTTGTATTTCAGCCCAAAGTTTTGACTTTATGATCTGACCGATACTTATATTTTTCTTAATTAAAGGTCAAGTAATAACACTCACTAGCTTCACATTCAATTGTCAAGTACTAAATGAAGGAAATTTGGAACTTTGGTCCCTGTTTCCACACTGTGTCGAATAATAATCCAATCCCAACCATGTTTTAAAAGTAGCGTAAATACATGTTCATAACAACAAGCGTAGAAGAAGACCCAACAGAAGTTGAAAAACATTTTTTTAGTTCTACTTTGAGATTCAATATTTTTTCTTCCGATTTTAATTACCTGTAGTACACAAACTTTTTACTTTAAATTATCAACATTCAATAATCAAAGGAAAAAAGTAATAATTAACTAACTACGAGTACTCCTACTAGATTACATTTTTTTTTTATAATTATTTTTCATTCGTTATACGGTATCCATTTTGAGATCCAACTAATCTAGATTCGCATCAGTCTCATTTTAGGGGTAAAGTGTTCCCTTCCAAAGACGATTCCATTCTCGATACTCAACGTGAAATTAAACCTCCCACCACAACCTTTGGTGGTCTTACTTATTAATTACTACATGGTTCCCATTTAATTAATCAATTTTCTGGATTCCAAGAAACTTTTGCTCTTGTGTTCACAAGACGAAAGGTATTCAAGAAAAGTAGCAAAGTCTGTATCCTTGTAAAGTTTGGGGTTGGAGTCATTGATTAGCTTTGGACAAGGCTGAATCTTGCAGCTATAAGGCAGGCTGTGTAGTGAAGCAACTGAGATTCTTGATTTTGAAGAATTTACAAGTACCCTATGTAGCACACTTTTGTACCTCCCGTTGCTGAATATCTGTTCATCAAATTAATTGGGGAAAAGTGAGATAGTGATAATTTCTTGAAAACCACATAATTTGTAAGTTGTAACCAAAAAGAAATAATATAGTATCTCTATTTAATTCACTTAAACGAACTATACATATATTTAGAGCATAAAACTTGTAGCTTGTGTCTTTTTTTTTTTTTTGGGTGTGTGTGTGTGTGTTTACAATTATTAATTTAACATTGAATATATTCAATTGCGAACATATCATATTCTTTTACTCTAGGATAAATAAAGATCATGAAGCTAAAATTTTGTAGAATAGAATTTCACCATTAATAGTTTTGAAATTCTTTACAAATAAGTATTTATGTAGTAATATACTTTGAAACATGGAAATTTTATAATTCTTTTTAAAAAAAATCTCTAGTATTTATCCTTCCCATTATTCTTATTCCCTTTTCTTTCAATCTAAATTTTCTTTTTCACTTTTCTATGTTGACGTTGAATACTTCTTAGGTTTCAAAAAGAATGAGGGAGTTCGAAATGCGAGAGTCAAACATATTAATTTTGTATTTCAATTCGTGCATCAACTTCTTCAATCTTTTTTTTTGTTACGTGACTAAAACAAGTTTAAAACTACTATACATAATAAAAATACTTAAAATTAAATGAAAAAAATTATGGTTAAACAAAAAGTTGTTCGATTCTCTAAAATAGTAATAGTGTCGTATAAAATGGAACGAAAATTGGCCTCAAGATAGTCCCGACTTTGACAAGAAAGTTGTTCAACATCCTAATATAGTAATAGTATCATATAAAATGAAACGAAAACTGACCTCAAGATGATCCCCGACATTGACAACAAAGGAGTTGGGAATGGGCTCAACTATTAACCATTTTCCTTGATGTTGTATTTGTAAACCTTTCACTTCATCTTGGAGGAGAAGTGTGAGTAAGCAATAATCAGAATGTGGTGGCATTCCAAGTGTTAAATCTGGCTCTGGGCAAGAAGGGTAGCAATTCAATACTAAGAGTTGGCTCCCATTCTCAAACTCTTTCAAACTATCATTTACTTCATTTTCCTTCACTATTCCCAAGCTTTCAAGAATTGCACCTATTAGCAACTGGTACAAGAACTTTGTTTGTTTGGCATAATTTGCAGCTGCTTCCCTATTAATCAATTAAAAACATATAGTATTAACTATTTTTGTCAGCCAAGAAGGGGAAAAAAAGGATTCAAGCTATATAGCATAAAACTTTTTTCCCACTTTAAATTAACTTGTGATAGCAAGTAAGTTACTAGTTTTATCATGTTACAAATTAGAGTTTTCACTTCTTTATACTGGTAATTAATGTTAAAAAATTATACTATTAGGTTATTTAAAAGATAGTACTACTTAATTATAGGTGACCATCCATGAAAAACAGCATTAGTAACCGGCTACAATAGGTAAAAATATATAGCAATACTAGTGTAAACATTCTTTACACTAGCCAGGGCAGAGTTAGAACACGAGTTACGAGTTCAGCCAAACGCAATGGCTTTGCTCCAAACTTTATATTTATTTTAAGAAATCATTGAATATACTAATTTAGAACCGAGTAACTTAAATTGACTAAATTTTAGATCCTGGCTCCGCCTCTGCTCTCAACGTATATAAGTTAAATCCTATAAATTAATACTTATTATGTATATTTACTCATAATTACCTTTAAAGTGGTCTGATACTACGATAAATATTTTATACTTTTTGATGCATAGAACTTAAAATTCTAAAACAACAATAATTAGACAATATTTGAGTTGACTTTGGAGATGATTACGTAGGCTATCTATTGAATTTTGTTAATTATGACATATTATAATTCAAGTGAGGGATTTTACTCTTATTATACAAGTTGACTTTGTTTTTTTAAAATATTGAATAGTTAGTTACCTGAGATCGACAGGAGAAGAGGGCCAAAGTGAGAGGAGATCACTTGACAAAGAATGGCAACTGAGTTTGAGAAAATCCCTCCAACAGAAAACTCCATCTTTGTTTTGGTTAAAGCTTGTGCCAAGACGTACTGATGCTTGCATATCGGTAGACATGTATTTTGCTCTTTCTTCAAATGGGAGCTCAAAAAACTTTTTACCAACTTCAATTATGTGCTGAATTATTTTGCTAGGTATACCATGATTTACCAACTGCACATCAAGAAAAGAAAAATAGAGCAAATAGAAAAGGTTAGATATTATCTCATTTTATTTAATTTGCTCTCTTCATTTTTTTGTTAAGGAGATAAAATAAGACAACTAAAAAAATTTTATTTTATTTTCAAGCATATGACCAGTCTGACTATTCCGAATTCGAGGAGTTATTTAGCATTTTTTTGTTAAAAATGATTAAGGAATTCATTCCTAGAGTTTGAACTTGAGGCCTCTAACTAAGGGTAAAGAATCTTTACTATACCAAATACCCTTCGGTGGTGACTCAATAGATGGCATCACAAGAGTGCAACAATACAACAACAATAAAAAAAAACTCAGCGTAATCTCATAAATAGGGTTTGAGGAAAGTAATGTACACGCAGATCTTATCCCTACCTTGTGAAGGTAGAGAGGTTGTTTTCGATAGACCCTCGGCTCAGTGCAATATGCTAGAATTTATTTCGGAGAGACGGATCTACGATAGGGTTTGTGAGTGCAAGTGAACTCTCCTTACTTTCAGCTCAAACTACGTTTGCTTAAAAAATTTAAATGGTTATGAGACAGTGCAAAAGCCAAAAAAAATAACCCCTATTAGTAATTGGTATGAGAAAAATTAAAAAAGAAATGGAAGAAAATGGTTAAATTAAAGGAGGAGTGGACAAATTTCAATGTTACAAAAACCTATACCTGAAAAAAGCCATACTCTTCACAAGCTTTGGAAAGTGATTTGAGAACTTGGGATCTGTTGCGGCCTTGTAACTGAGCAAAATCAATAATGGGCAAATTGAGATTTTCATCAATTTTTTCTTCTTTTTTCACAATTACTGGCCTATCTGAAACTGGCAATATGTATTTTCTTGGAATTCTGGTAATCCCATTTTCACATAAATGCCTAACTCCTTTTTGATATCTACTCTCAGTTTCTTCAACAGTCATATTCATTGCTGGACACATTATATTTTGTGTACTAAAATGGTTGGAGAAGGAATTAGAGAGAAGGGTTTTAATTTGGTGAGTTTTAAGTGAGAAACAATGTAAATATTTATAGGAGAAAAACAACGTGGGAAAAACAGTGTTAGTTCCTATAATTTCCATGCAAAAACACAAGTGTTGACTTGGTATGGGTCAAACAACGATGCTAATTTTTGGTAAAAAAAGAACTACTCCCTTTGAATTTTTAGTTTTTGGCACACCACTTAAGAAAATACGAATTCCTCGAGAAAAAAAGATGTATTTACTAAATTACTCTTAATTAATTATTATCTTAACACATTGAAATATGTAAATAAGGCAAATTTTAAAAGAAAAAAAATAATTCCTTCTTAAGCATGTAAAAGGACATTTATTTTGAACCAAAATAAAAATACCAAAATGTCACTTATTATGTACAGGTGGGAGTAGTCTTTTTCTTTCCCTTCTTTGTGGTTCCCTCAACTAAGACAATTTCAATTTTCAACCCTTGTACAATTTCAATTTTCAACCCTTGTGGACCAATCTATATATATATTTCAGTCTCAAGATCTGCCCCATTTTGTCTACGCACAAGGGACGTTCAAATAAAGAGGTTATACTTTGAGAATTCTTTTTCTCTTTTTCCCCTTGACTTGTCTAGAGAAGCTTAAATTTTCTTAAAATATCAGAAGTTGCAATTGGAATAATCCTTTGCAGTTAATTGCTAGCCGGGGGCAGAATTAAATTAAAGAGCTCCTAGCAAACCAAAAACTATAATTTTTATAACATAAAGGACCAAATATACTCATGTATTATGAGAAAAGGTTTAAATATATTTTTTGTTATACTTTGAGTCAAAATATACCCCTGCCGTAATACTATTGGTTCAAATATACTCCTCTTCCGTAAAGTTTGTCCAAGGTGGATATCCAATCCTACGTGACACTGATATTTGATGAGGTGGATGCGACATGGCATGCCACCTCAATACCCCTAATCCATATATAAAAGACTAAAATTTAAAATACAATATTTTTCATAGTAGCAGTAATGGTGGCAATAGTGGTGGAGGGGAAGAAAATTTTAGTGCCGGTAAAAAAATAGAAGGGAGCGGTAAAATAGGTTAGGGGCACTAAGGTGGCAAATCATATAACATCCACCTCATTAAATGTTAGTGTCACGTAGGATTGAATGTCCACTTGGGATAAACTTAACAGAAAATTGTTATATTTGAACCAATAGTATAACCACAGGGGTATATTTGGACTCAAAACATAACAAGAGGTATATTTAAATATTTTCTGATAATACACGGATATATTTGACCCTTTCCCATTTTTACAAATATCCGCTTTTAGAGCGGGTAATTGGAATATAACGAACATGTGCTAAGTAATAGTAATTGAAAGGTAACTACAATTTTAGCTACAGCAGCTATCGACTTCTTCTTCTTCTACGCTTCTTTTGCATTTGATCTTTTCCAATTCACTTTCTTTCTATGTTCTCCTATATGCCCTAAGTCAAGCTTATAATCTGTTGGTGATTGATCATGATTAATTCTTCAGTTTGTTTGGCCAAGCTTTCTTTTGAGCCAAAAATATTTTTTTGGTCAAAAGTATTTTTTTTCTAAAAATTGAGGTATTTGTACAAGCTTTTAGAAGGAAAAACGGTACTTTTGACTAGAAGCAGAAACAGTTTTTGAAAAGCAAAAAAAATAGTTTTTCTCCCAAAGCACTTTTAAGAAAAATACACTTAGAAACAGTTTTTAAAAACTTGACCAAACACTAATTACTATTCAAAAGTGCTTTTCAAATTAATTAACCAAACACAAACCGCTTATCACAATTTATTTTTTTTTAAAAAATACTTTTTAAAATAAGTTGATTTTAAAAGCTTAGCCTATAAGTGTGTTCTTGCCATAATTGGTTGCTCGCTAGAGGCAAACATACGCAGACATAAGCTAAAATCTCCAGTTTTATCTTCGACTTGTGTGGCTATTTTTCAGCTAATTTAATGCATTTTTAAGTTTCAACAATTTTGCAAAAGATGACTATATTCCAATTAGCAGCCCTGAAAGCAGCTACATGCGATTATTTTCACAATTAAAAGTGCATAGTTTATTATGAAAAGTAAAGCTTAACTTGGAGAAAAAGTACTGTATACGGCTAAAACCGAGCCCACCTAATTTTTTTATCTGACCGGGATCAGGGAGTTGCATCGAAGGTTGGCCCCGTAGTGGATAAGACCAAGGTACGAGGACAAAGTACCAAGTTCGTAATTCGAGGTACCTATCGAGATCGATGCCAGCAGCGATCGAGACATATTAGCTGCCATGGAAATGAGGTCTAAGCTAAGAAGAAGAAGAAGAGGAAGAATCTAGAAGAAGAGAGGAAATCAGAGAAAGGCTCGATACATTTCTTCTTAATGAAAAAGAAAGAAAATTGTACAAATGGCCACTATTTAAAACAAATTAAATAATCTGCTTGACTAACTCACTAACTATGGTTTGTCATTACATTATAATTAAACCATGGTTAACTATGCTAATTAACACTCCCCCTCAAGCTGATGGTTGATACGGATTCTTCAACCCCAGCTTGTTCAGCAGATGCACATGTTGAGCTCTTCCCAAACCTTTAGTCAGTATATCTGCTAGTTGATCTTCAGTGTTAACATACTCAGTCTTCAGCAGACCTTGATTCAACTTTTCCCTCACAAAGTGACAATCTATATCGATGTGTTTTGTCCTTTCATGGAAGATTGGATTTACTACAATTTGAATTGCAGCTCTGCTGTCACACACCAGAGTTATAGGAAGCTCAATTTTAACATCAAATTCACTGAACAGTCCTACTAGCCAGGTAACTTCTGCAGCACATGAAGCCATGCTTCTAAACTCAGCTTCAGCAGAGCTTTTGGACACAGTGCTCTGCTTCTTAGACTTCCAGAATATCAATGCACTTCCAAACTTTACCAAGTATCTTGTGACTGACCTTCTAGTTTGTATACATCCCTCCAGTCTGAATCACAAAAGGCACTTAGTTGATTTGAAGGCCCTGTAGGAAAGAACAACCCCAAGCCAGGAGCCTCTTTTATGTATCTTACAACTCTCAATGTTGCTTCCATGTGAGACCTTTTAGGACAATGTATATACTGACTAAGAACCTGAACCACAATGCAATTATCAGGTCTTGTCATAGTGAGATACAACAACCTTCAAATGAGTCTTTGGTAAACACCGGGATTGTCAAGACTCTCATCTGTATGGATGTTATCATTCTTGAAGTAATTATCATACTCTACTGAAGTTAGCTTCTGATTCAGTTCTAGTGGTGTTCCAGCTGGCTTTGCACCACTCAAACCAGACTCAGAAATTAACTCTAAGGCATATTTTCTTTGGTACATAAGAATTCCTCTTTTGCACCTTGCAAACTCAATCCCTAAGAAGAATTTGAGCTCTCCTAGATCCTTCATTTTGAACTTCTTCATAAGTTCTGATCTAGTACTGCATAACAGTTATTGATTGTTCCCAGTAATCAGAAGATCATCAACATAGACCAATATGACAGTTATATCATCTCCAACCTTCTTTGTGAACAAAGAGTAATCATAGTGACTTTGCTGAAAGCCCATGTTGAGCAGGGCTTCTATCAACTTCATATTCCACTGTCTAGGTGCATGCTTAAATCCATAAAGAGACTTATGTGTAGTTTGTAGACTTTCCTCTTAGTCTCCCCTCCTATCTAACAAACCCCTTAGGCAATTGCATATAGACTTCCTCAGTGAGATCTCCATTTAGAAAGGCATTGTGGATATTTATTTGAAAGATCAACCACTGTGTTGAAGCAGCTAAGGCAATAACAGATCTAACAGTCACAATTTTGGCCATAGGAGAGAACGTTTCTCCATAATCCAATCCTTCCTTCTGGCTGTAGCCTTTAGCCACTAGCCTAGCTTTAAACCTTTCTACTTTACCAGAGTCTTTGTACTTAATTCTGTAAACCCACCTGCAACCAATGGAAGTCTTCCCAGGTGGCAAGTCAACAATACTCCAAGTGTGGTTATCTTCAAGTGCTGCAATCTCCAACTTCATTGCTGCTATCCACTTGGGATCAACTGCAACTTCTTTGAAGGAAGTTGGTTCTGAGAGAGCTGAATAAGCTGCAAGGATCTGCTTATATGATGGAGCAATAGAAGAATAGTCCACATAGGCAGATATAGGATAAGTACACTTAGAGCCTTTTGAGGTAATGACATAGTCTTACAGCCACATAGGTGGCTTGCTCGGTCTAGAAGACCTTCTGTTTTCAGCAGGAGGCTCATCATCTTGTTTGAGAAAGCACATGTGCATTTTGAGTAACATCAGGCAAGTGATCAACAACATAAGGGATCATAGAGACAACTTCTTCTGAGCTTGTTGCAGAATGAGGAACTCTCTGAGAGGAGTCTGCAGGCAACTAATTTGAACTGGTGTCAATAGTCACCTCTGTTGCTGGTGGTGCAGGAGAAGAGGGAGTAATACTGCTTAGAGTAGAAGAGAGCAAGTCTAGGATAGGAAATACATGTCTTCCAGTAGATGAGGCATGCTTAAAGGGAAAAATATCCTCTTGAAACACAACATTCCTGTTGACAATAAATGTTATTGAGTGCAGAGTATACAACAAATAACCCTTCTGGTGGAAGAATATACTAGAAATACAGCAGGTACTGCTCTGGGTGAGAACTTATCCAGCACTTGAGGACAAGTTGCATAGCACAAACAGCCAAAGACTTTGAGATGAGATAATGAAGGAGGGTGCAAGTATAACATCTCAAATGGTGATTTGTATCCAACAACTTTAGATGGATGTCGATTGAGTAGATATACTGCAGTAGCAACACATTCTTCCCAAAATCTCAAAGGTATAACAGCTTGAAATCTGAGTGATCTAGCTATTTCCAAGATGGTTCTGTGTATTCTTTCTGTCACCCCATTCTGTTGGGGTGTATAGACATGTGTACTTTGATGGAAAATACCAAGATTAGACAGCAGACTCTTAAAT